TTGTATGAACCGACAGGTGATCTGTCTGGGCTTCAGACTATAGTACAAGAGGCTGTACAAGCCGCCGTGCGAGGAGCGGTCGCAGGCATGGCTGACCTGCTTCGTGCCGCAACCCAGCACACGCACGGCCCAAGACCACCTGCAGAGTCCGGTAAGCTGGTACCAGTGTTCAACCCCGTCACTAATCCGGTGCAGGCAGTTGAACATTGGATACGGAAAGTTGACGAACTATCGGCGATATACTCGTGGACCGAGATACAGACGGCGTGTTTTGCCCTAACGAAGCTAGAGGGCATTGCCAAAACGTGGTACGACGGCCTCGTCAGTGTCCAGCGCTCGTGGCTTGAATGGAAGGCGGAGCTGAAGAAAGCTTTTCCACCCGTCATATGCTTACAGCGCCGGCACCAAGAGATGGAAGCGAGACGGAAATTGGCAAACGAAACCGTCGAGCAGTACTTTCATGAAAAAGTCAGCCTAGCTCGACTCTGTCAACTTCCTGAAGATCAGATCGTGGATTATGTCATAACCGGCATCAATGACGAATCTCTCGTTCGAAGCCTGAGCGTAGTCAAGTTCTCTACTCCAGAGGATCTGCTAGAGTGCCTCGAACGTATGGACGACCGACTCACCGCCGTCGGGGAAGCGTCCCACCGATCCGATGCGGCAATCGGTTCAAGGGCAGGAAAGAACAGTTCACCCAGCGACCCAAATGCCCACAGACTCCCGAAACGAAAACCGCCATTCAACTCTAATGGTGAACCGCGATGTTTCAACTGTGACGAATACGGTCATATGTCTGTAAACTGCAGTAAACCCAATAAGCGAGAACACTGTAGCGAATGTCACCGAACAGGACATAAAACAGCTGAATGCAGATCAAAAGGCAGAGAAAGTGTGTCGGTAGAAATTCATCATATCGAAAACAAAGAAAAAGTAAATGCCCAAAACGAAAAGTATTTTCAAGACGCTCTCGTAGACGGGAAGCTTGTCCAAGCTTATGTTGACCTTGGAAGTCAGTGCGTTACGCTGCGCAAGGTGGATGCTGATGATTTGGGAATTAACTATAACAAGCCATCCCGAGGATGTAAGATTGCAGGCTATGGTTTTGGTCAGGTCCTACCATGCGGAATCACGGAAGCAAGTGTCACCGTAGACCAGGTGACAGCCCGTGTTCCAATCTACGTTGTTCCAAAAGAAGCGCAAGCGATTCCTCTTCTTGTTGGACAGCCGTTTACAGAGAAACCACATGTTACCATCGTGCGAAGAAGGAACACGCTTCGCATTTTCGAGGAACAAGGCACTTCTACTGATGATGATGAACGGCATCGACAGATTCAAATCCCTGATCTTCCACCACGCTCCCTAGTGTCATGGGCCAAGGAGTCTGTCGTGATTCCACCGAACTACGTGGGGATCATTCATCCAACGATCAATGAGTCTGCGGCAGGACACGTCTTTGTTGACGCACAGTTGCGGATGCAAGAAGGCAAGGAACACTGTTTGCCTGCTTGTGTAATCAACATCACAGAAGATGGCGATACGGTTCTGCCTATTTTGAACATATCCAGTTCCAATGTCAATATTTCGAAAGGCGATGTAGCAGGCAGAGGGTCCTGGTGTTCAGAAACGTCTAAAACCGCCCTCAAGCGAAGGATGACGGATCTCCTGGGACCGATCGAAGCGGAAGATGTACGAACAGGACCTCAGTTTTGCCCTGATATGTGGAGGAGATACCATCTTACAACAGAGGACGGTCCTATCGTGCGAGCGCCTTTCAAGACGCGGCCAGTTAAGGAATGCTACTGCTACAACTGCGCAGGCCCAGGCCAATTTGGTCACCAATGCCACATGAAGAAGAGGGGCAATCGGGTTACGCCCTGCATCATTTCCTACGACGACCCTCACGAGTCTCAACATCAGAGTTGACAGTCCGAAAGAAATTGGCGAGCACCACCGAACAAGCAGAAAGGAGGCAAGGGCAGCCGCAAGCGGGTGCACAGCGAAAACGCGTCGGCAAGAAAACAACCAAGGAAGCGACCTCACCGCAATACGAATCACCAGCACCGAAACAACAACGGCGGCTACGACAACAAGCCTTCCGTGAGCAACAGCGGAGGCTCTAGAAAGCAAAAAAAAAAAAAAAAGAACAAGAAGTCGCACTTGCGGCGGAAGTCAATGCGACTTTCTAATGACACCTACCGCATTGAAGATATACCTGGCCACAAGCGGACTTAAGGTTTCTACGCGTCAACAGTTCCCGTCGACAAGCTGAAACGAGTCAGCACCTTTGATGTTGACATTGAATAAGAAACATCAAGTGAGGACACTTGAATTTCAGGATGGCCGAATGTTAGCGCCCTCGCAAAAGAAGGCGACTGACCCCAAGCTCGCGCCACCACCCGCGTGGCGCACCGTTCTTTTTGCTGGGCAGGCGTACCCGCCAGACGTGTATTAAACGCTCCTTTTTAAACCTTCACTGGTCCCCCGTTTCCCATGTCGAGGCTCTAACACTACATATTTGCCATGAGATTCATGCCCTAACTCGTACATCTGCTAAAGAAGTCCGGATTCTCTGGACCCCTGGGCACCAGCACGGTACTCACCAGGACAAAGCCCACCAAATCGCTCGAGCCCCGATTGAACATCCCCCCCCCCCCCCCCCCCCCCGATCCCACCCCCATTCGGGATGAGCCGGAGGCCTCACTCGTCGTGGGCAAGGCCCGCATAAGGGTCGCTACGCGTGCACTGATTCCCGCGTGCCCACATCCTCTCCCGGCGGGCCTACCCCGGCGGGAGGAGGTCCTCCTCGCATTTTCCGGACGGACTCCGCAGTCACCCCAGCAGTCTTGGCCTCCTGGGGCCGAGGTCCCGATGATGCCAGCCCGGCGTACCCCTACGGCTCTGCCAGGGCGTCCGCAGTTGGGCTCCGACACATTCTCTGGAATTGCCCAAATCTTCAGCACCGCCTCCTTCCCCTGACTCAGGCACGAGACCTCAACCTAGCATTCCCTGAGGACTACTACAAATGTACCAGACTGAACGATGAAATGCCGGAGCCCTTTTGGGCTTTATACGGGATGCACACATAGCGCACCTAATCTAAACTCTCAAGCTTTGCTTGTTGCACGAATAAAAAAAAAAAAGTGTGGCATCCACTGGTTGAAGATTTTTTGTTAGGAGCGGCTGGAAAGGAGAATGAGACAGACGAGGGATGACATATATAGTCATATTTCTTTTTACTATATTTCCTACAATCGTCTTGAGCCTTGATGCTAACTGACAGTCTGTGTGCGTTGGGAGCAAGTTTGTCTGTATTTTGGTTTTATGTAATCCGACATGCGCTGGTATCCACTGAGACAACCAAACGAGATCAGGGAACACTTCTTTCTCATATTCGCCTTGCCAAGACAATTTTGCCAGAGTGAATAAATAATAGCGAGTTCGTTTCACGGCACTCGTGCCCACGCGTGCCCACTCGCAGCGTGGAACGGGTTCGTTTCGGCCGGCACTCCACGAGTAGCTGCACTCTCCGAGTTCGTTTCAGCGCTGACACCCCACGCGTGCATGCACTCGCTGCACCGAGAAAATCGGGAGTGCGCCAAAATGCAATCCCGTCATGCCTCGCTCCGGTGGGACCGGCGAGGAGCGGGAGCAGACGACGAAGGTTCGTCTGCTACGATGTGTCGCAAAACCGAACAGAAAAAAAAAAAAAAAAAGATTTTCTTATAGAAATCGCGTCCCGCGGGCAACGAAATCAAACGGGAGCTTGAATTGTGAGCGTCTGCTATTTCAGGAAGGAAGCAATTGACAACCCGTGATTTATTTGCAGGTTTTAAATCGCTCTGTTGCCGCACAAACGCTGAAATATACCAGTGTGTAAAGAAATGCTCAGAACAAACGCAGCAGCGGCCCCCGAGATGTCTATCACCATCCGTGTGCGGGTGAAAAATTTAACATTGGTCAACAAAACTCCCCCAGCAGTAACCTCTGACTGCCAAATAAGCATCAGAGAAAGCTAAAGATGGAAACTTTACCCGAGGATTGGGCAACATCATCATGTTTAACATTTACCTACGTCAGCTAACTTGCCCCGTCGTATTCCGTTCGAGAAAGCTCTCGTTCTCGACGCCCTCACCAAGGCTAATATCTAATCCTGACGATCCAAATCGAAAGTCCCAGTTTTGCTGGATATTCCAACAGGCTAGTTTTAAAAGCCGTACCCTTTCAGTGGTTCACGAATAATACCATGCTCAAACGGATCAAGCTTCTGCTCGGACAGCATCATCAGTTTTCTTCAGTGTAAACGGCTATAAGAATTGAAAGATCGCAACCAGCTGCTTTGTAGACAGCTGGTTGCGGAAATTTACGCCATCTGTAATTATCTCTACGGCAGCCTAGCTGCTTGAAGTCATCACAACTATAAACTACAGGTTGCAGCGACCAACGTTTGTAGATAAACGTTGGTAGCCGACTGCATTTTCGCATTCCCACGCATCACTCCGAACAGAAAGGCGCTAGTTTCGGTTTGAAGTCGGTACCTTTTCAACAACATGGATGGCGGCAGCTTCAGTCTTCTGCACTCGGTGCATTTGGCGAGTTCGTTCGAGTCCAGTTTTCCGTGCAACACTCTGTGAGTGCGATGCATTCTGGGAGAGAACTCGAACGGTGCCAGTGCGTGTGAAACGAACTCGCTATAAGCTAGTCGCAACTTTCACGGCCAAAAGGGGGCGCACTGGTGCCTATCAAAATGGCTGTCATCTCGATGATCATCATAGAACAGCGGTACGAGGCTGGGTATGCGACGCGTAGGTAATTATAGTTTTGGTATATACGAGCAGTATTAGAGCCTTACGCTATTTGTTCACGCCAGAAAGGTGTAGGCAAGGCCACTTATTATGAGGCCGATCATCCAGGAGCTAGAGAGAGCGATTCTCACACCGCGGTACCACCATCGCTGAAAGTTGCGAATAGTGATTAAAGAAGAAGAAGACAGCATTGCAATGGCGTCTGACGAACACAATCCGTCCAGGGATCGGGTGCCTTTCTTCAAACATGCCAACCGCGTTGTGCTCAAGACCGTGTTCCTGGCCGCAGTCACCATCGGAGTCGTGTTCACCTTCCACACTGCACTGCAACACGCTGTCATCCCAGGCATAAACAAGACTCTTTCTTCCTGGTCATCTATGATCGCTCAACTCATTCGAGACACAACGGTCAACAAGACATTGTTCAAGTACATTATAACAACTCCCGCAACGAGTCTACATCAGATGCTTCCGCCACCCGACGTTCTGGTCTGCAGAACACCGCAGTGTCAGAACTTCCTTGAAACCACAGCTCGACGTCTGCGAGGTTCCAAGTTTAATCCCTGCCACGACTTCTACAGCTACGTCTGTGCCTCCTGGGAGCGGGAACATCCTCTTAAAAGGCATCGCATACATTCGGTGTCCTTTGATAGCGTAACTGTGGAGCACTACCTTCAAATTCTAAAGGCCTCTCTAAAATCCATGGAGCCGCAGTCCAAGTTGGGATTAGTTTATAATCTTTGCCAAAAGAAAAGCGACACGCTCTTCTCGGAACTGGTTCAGACCTTTCTGCACACCCTCGGGCTGGATCATTGGCCGTACACGGCGCACAGTGCAAGAGACGTGTCCGCTGAAGAACTGTCTTACAAAGTAGGGTCTGTGTACAGGGAGCTAGGTTTGGATACCTTGTTCAGCTTCAGCATCAACGAGGACGAAGAGAACAGGTCAAGAGCTCTTGTTTCGCTTGGTCAGCCTCAGCTGGTTTCCTCCTACGTAAAGAACGCAACAATCGGCTATCTATGGCTAGACAAATCTTTCCGTTTGTTGGCTGAGAGCCTCGGGAAAACGTACATCTCAATCACGGACTTTGCAGACTTGGAGAGAAGCTTGCGGAGCTTCATGATTGCTGAAGAAAACGAATGTTTAGCAGATTGTAAAACGATAGAATTAGATAAGCTGCCCGTTCTTCCGCTTATTAATTGGACCTCCCTTTTTCAGGGAGTTCTTGGAGCTGACCTAGTAGTTGCTAAAGTGCGCTTGACTTCACCTGAGTACTTGCTCAACGTATACAAAAATCTTGAAGTATCCAAAGCGTGTGTGATGAATTATATTGTCTTCCGCATCATGATGTACTTGCTCCCTTTCCAAAAGGATGAAACCATTTTTACAAAACTAATAAATTGGAAAACGCACAGACAGCCGAGTTCTCTACTGGGATATTCGCGCGAAGATCAGTGTCTGCTCCTGATGCTTTACACGGAACCTCATCTTTTAACGGTTTTAGCGAGGGGTAACGAAACGAGAATCAGTTCAAGTTTTATTCAAGATACGGTTCAGCAATCACTTCCATATGCATTTTCTGCATATGTCCAAAGATATTTTTTCTTGAGACCAGAGTTGAAAATTAAATTCCTCGGGCTTTTAGAGGCCATCAAGTGGGAAGCGTTCTTTCCATCTTCCTTCTATAATCAAAGCTTCCGAGCAAGATACGCCAACGAAATCTACACCAAAGATCCTGGTGCGCCAGTTTTCTATTACCTATTTTACTACATCAAGAACTCTGCCCGCACACGGCGCTACTCCACAATCACAAACCACGACCTACCTTCGACCAATTGGAACTTGCGATTTTTTGACACGTACCCGAGAATCGACCCGCCTTTCAGAAAGCTGCAAATTCCGATGGCCACGTTCAACCCGTTTCTTCCGAACGATCCAGTCGTCGGCCTCTTCCAGATGCCTAGACTGGCCATCAGAACGTACAGGAGCCTGCTGGACTTTCTTTATCATTTTATCCGCAGGTACAATGATCGCAACGTCACGCAAACGTTGGACACCACACGATCTTGTTTGAAGATTCAGTATTCCCAACTTAAAATCCCTGGTACTGATCAGTTCGCCAACGCCGAGAAGACGTCACAGTCTGACCTTCTGGACGCCTTATCGATTCGTGCCGCCTACGAGGTTTTCAGAAAGAAGGTTGGTCAAAGGGTATCTAGACTGGACGTCACGAGCAGAGTATCGTACAGCCTGGATGCCCTCTTCTTTGTTCAGTACGCGACATCCTTCTGCCAGAGTTCCACTGAAGAGTACAAGCGCACTCTCCTCACCCGGAGCTCCCACAGCCCTCCCTGGTTACGAGTTAACGGACCACTCCGCAACTTCGTAAATTTTGCTAAGGTCTTCCGCTGTCCGTTGGATTCGTTCATGAACCCAAAATCAATGTGTGGTGTCTAATGCTCGCGTCGTTTATTCATTATCAACGCCGGATTAATGGCCATAGATATTTAATTTCTCCAATGGGTTAGAGCGATCTCAACCCAGGCATTTGCTTACATTTCACAAATCTAACGTTATCACTTATAGGATTCGCGCTGTTGCGTTGCATATAAGAAGACCATAAAACCACTTTACACTCGAACACACCATGATCACCTTTCTTTTTGTTTATCAAGCTAGAACTCTGAGTAAACACCACATTAATGTTAAATCGAAACCTGAATTGTTGTGATTCTGAAACCACAGATGACACTGGACTCTATCGAGACCTACGCCTTAAAGGGACAATGAAGACGATTTTATTTAATTTTTATTAAATGGTGGATTAGGCTTCTTGGGAACCTAGCGTGCTGCTCAATTTTTCGTAGACATTTGTGACGCGTATTTCTGTGCCTAGGAGAGAACAAAAGAAACCGAAACTGAACTATCTCCATTCTCCTTTCAGGGCCTCCGAAAACGGAGGTGACGTAGGGATTGACGTCAAGTGTGAATAGTCGGTATCGGTAGTATTTAGGAGATAGAGGCTACGGTTACCACGGTGGGTTACAGCAGCGCGGTGGCGCGGTTGTTTCGTCGAACCTGTCAACATAGACCACAAGGCCACTGTCGCGAGCAAGTTCGGGGCTTCCGTTCAGTGACCTAACACCAACGGAACAGGAGTACGCGTCTGGCGGCCTCCACCATCAACCGACGGAGTTTGCCCAGCCGGCAATGAGCGGCCCGCAGGATTCGAGCAGGAAAGCAGTGAACAAACAACATTCGCGCGGGCGAGACGAGAGCGGCGTGTTGCCAAAGGACAGGGACGCGGGGGAGATGCCGAGAGAATGCGGGAGCGACCCGGCCGTTCCGGGAACCGGTTCCTTCGCGGGGGACGCTCCCCAAGAAGGAGAAAAGAAACAGCACCATTTTTAGTTTTCAAACGTCCTCTCTTTTCGTCGTCAAAGGACACGAACAGCAGCCCAGACGTGAAAACTGGCGTCGCCCGAACGAACACTGGTCTGCAGTCGACGGCTAGAACAGCCATCTACAGCGCACAAATTTGGCATGACTACCATTTTGCAGAATCCTTCGGGTGGCGTGTTCCCAAAGTAAACCCGACACCGACATCTGAAACCAAAACCAAGCGTCTCCCGCGAGTTCTTTTTTATTTTTATTTTGCTTGCCCACAGTTGCTCGTTGCCCGTTTCGCGTCCAGCTTAGCAAAGTGAAGAACAATTGTGCTGTTGTATTTAAGGTTTAGTATTAATTTCCGGTCAGATTTATAATTTTCATGGCTTTTCAAGCGGAAATTAAGTCTTCCTTAAAATTGCGAACCAAACCGTGACCGAGGGCACATATCTCGTTTCGTCCAATCGCTGACGCCTCTCTTGTGACGTCGCGCTTCTTGGCCCCGCAACGGTCACGTGAGCTCCACTTCTCCTGGCTTCTTCCGCAACTCTCAGCGCGCCGCCCCAGTAGATCCCGCTATAGGGTTAGTACACTCTAATAGGGTACTTACATGTCATACATGTCTGTCTGTCTCAGGGTGAAGACATCGATTGTTTCCCCGAATGTACCAGCGCGTGACGCTCTCGCGCAATTGGTGCGTGACTTGGGCGGTACAATGGCGTCTATGCATGAGCCAAAGTAGAGAGTTCTAGAAAGTACGAGTGGGGCGAGCTACAGGCTCCGCTCTTGCATTCAGTTGCACCTCAAAATGTGGAAAGCGATCAGGTGAAACTAAGCCACTTCGATCGCGGCGCCACCTTCGCTACGTGCGATCGAGCAACGACACAGGTCAATGTCATATGGGCAGTATAGCCCCTTACCGCCGAATTCACAAACCTCACTCAAACTACACTCAAACTGATGGGCCCCTCCACTTCCTCGCGGCTTCCTCGAGGAAGTGGAGGGGCCCATCAGTTTGAGTGTAGTTTGAGTGAGGTTTGTGAATTCGGCGGTTAGGGGCTATAATGTATTTTTTTTTATATTGACGTCAGAGGTAACCTCAAAGTACCACAACACGACGACGTGACGTTATGACGACGCCACGACGCCATCGTCGACTACGACGTTACTCGACACCAAGATGCTGTCGTAAGGCCGTCGTGACATCCCGTCGCGTCAAGACGCCGCCTTTTCGCGATATCAAGTCGCCGTTGTAACGCAGTCGTGACATCGCGTTGAGGACAACGCCGTTAGGCGACATCAAGTGGCCGTTGTAACGCGGTAATGACGTCACGCGCCGCGTTGAGGATGACGTGGACGTGGTCGCCGATGCCGACGTTGACGCCCCACGGAACGTAAAACACCGCTATGACGTCACGTTAACGTCGTCCTGACGTCATCGTGAACGTCAATGTCACAACGAAGCCTTGACGGCGTGTAACGTCGTCACCTTCGCTAGCATCAACGTCGACGCGCATTCACGACGAAGTTTGACGTCATGTAACGTCGTCAATGATGACGTAAATGTCGACGTCCTGAAGTTGTCGGGACGTCGAGATGCCTCATGTCGACAACGACGAGGACGAAGTGACACCAAGCGTCCTTATGACGTCACACTGACAAGGACGCCGTTATCTTGACGTCCCGTGACGTTGTCGTCGTCGTCATCGACGTCAACGTTGACATCGTCGTCGTTGTCAACGCAGTATGACGTCAAAACGCAGTCTTGATGTCGTGTAACGCACGTTGTCAACGTCAATGACAACATTGACTTCAAGGCGTCGTCCTGATGTCGCATGGCGTTGTGACAAGTCGGGTCGCGGGGACTTTATGTACGTGATGACTGACGTCTAGGTTGTATAAAACATATAGACGCTTTACAAACGCGCCAAATTACAGCCGCCATTACTGACCTTCTCTTGTCTTACCGAAATGCCGAGCAACTGAAACGGTAGTTGACGATCCTCTACGAAGGCCGATGCTTTAGAAAAGGACGCAGTTGGATCTAATGTGGCAATAACCTGGCCTGCTATGGTAATGATGAAGTGAAATAAACGAAATTAGAGGAAACAAAAACTGAAGGTCAGTTATGGCGGCGTCCATGCACAGCTGCTGCAAAGCGTCTATAGTCCGGCGTTCTATTGTTTCTATGACCTTGACCAGTGTGCCGATCGAGCTTGACGTAGGAACGAAACGCGTTTTCCATAAAAAGCGGCTAATCCGAGCCACTTCACTCATAGCGCCCGAGAGGGCGCTACTAGTGAAGTGGCTTTAGAGTGCCTTCATACACACGCGCGCTTTTGCTTGAGTGGTGACATCTCAGCCATTTTTCCGCCCAATGTTTTTTTTTGTGCATATTGAAGTGCGCGCAATCCGGTGTCACTCAGCTCGAGCGCGTAGCTTTGGCTCATGCATAGACGCCATTTTACCGCCCAAGGCACGCAACGAGTGCGCGAGAGCGTCACGCGCTCGCACATTCAGGGCAACAATGGATGTCTTCACCCTGAGACAGACAGACATGTAGGCACCCTAAGTGGCTTGGATTAGCCGTTTTTTCCACATGCGGAGGTACCTCGCTAGCACTCCGGTGGCCCCACTCGTCCCTTCTAGTACACTCTAGCCAAAGCTACGCGCTCGAGCTGAGTAACACCGGATTGTGCGCACTTCAAAATGCATGAAAAAACGATTGGGCGGAAAAGTGGCTGAGATGTCACCAATCAAGCAAAAGTGCGCGTGTGTATGAATGCACTCTATCCCGGTACAAGCGCCGCATTCGGCTGAAATTTGGGCAAAATTGCCAAGAAAATATCTGAAATTGCCTTCATTGTTCCTTTAAGAAATATATGTTTTGCTTTTTTTTTCTGAAAGTGGCATTTCCGTTCATCCCTCTTGCTTCTTTACGCCCGAGGTTTTTAAGTGAGGTGTGCCATGTACAGTCTTGGTCAACCCTGAGTACGCGTGAACACACGGGGCCTCAGAGATTGAAACTCAATGCCTTACAAAGTTTTCCCCATATATATGTGTATAACACTTCTGCAGCACAAGCACCTGCCTAAGCTAAGAGCTCTCATGCTTCGTTTTCGTGAACAAAAAATTGAGATAAAGACCAACAAGAAGCAGCACAGCAACGACCCAAGGAGGTAATTCCTTTCAACATTTTAGCGTGTAGGGACCCGTGTGCAAAGAACTGACTTCTATACACGATTGCAAGCTGGGCGACTGGCCGCCGCCATGTCTCTGCTCGAGCAGGCACGCCCGTGCGATTACGTGCTTGCCAAAGCTACGTTCACCCGCGCGTTGCACGCGCTTGCACGCATGGGGCACCAGTTGTGGCGCCATGCTTGCAATTGTCTATATTAGCCCCGAGAACATGACGTGGCGCCACCTAACGGGCCTATCGTCGTGACGTAGGATAGGGGATCACGTGACCGTTTTTTGCGCTCAGTGTGTAGGGTGCAGTGTCTCGGTCTTCGCTTTTTTCTATTAGTACGAGTGTTTAAGGTTTATTTTAACCCATTTTTTTCGTTTTTGTACTCGATCCGGTCAAGCTCCTAAGTCGGCTACCGTACAACTGCTTCCGGGGAGCCGGTGAGGCTGTTGCAGGCTAGCAGGGAACCGGTCGCTGCAGGGAAGCGCGGCGGCGTAGACTAGACTAGACGGTACGGGCCAATTTGTCGTTTTCGGCGGCTGTATCGGGCACCGCGATGGATGCGGACCATGTGCGACCTACCGTTGAAGGTAAGCGAAGCTTTTTTTTTAGCTTCTATTTGACCGGGCAGCCCGTTAAAACTGTGTACCCCTTTTCAGTTGTGCTGCCTGTAAGCAGCATCAACGCGTTCGTGAACAAGGCCCACGAAACATCCCGGCTGTTGCTCGAGGGCGAACGAGTTCTTGAAGCGGGACATGTCTTCTCCTGCAGTATCAAGAAGGTGGATAATGACTGCTACACGTTCATTGGATTCGTCCTCCAGACGTCGGCACTGACTTCGGACCCGCACGAACTGGAGATAGCACTGAATGGAAGAAACGTC